CAGCTCCTGCCTGGCTGTTCCTGAGCCAGGCCCAGGGGTCACTCTGCCTTTGGCTGCCTGTTCCATCCCCGCCTGACTGCAGAGGGACAGTGCCAGCCGGGGTGGCAGCCGCTCCTGCTGAAGGACACGGCTGCACTGCCTCCCTGCAATGCTGCAGCTCCTCTCTGCAGTGCTCAGCACAAAGCAGCTGGCCAGGACTGCACCCGCAGCACTCGGGGCATGGCAGGTGCCCACTGCTGCAGCAGCAGGATTGCTTCCCTGCTCCCTGCAGCTCTGCCTCCCTCCCTGTGCCACCACAAACTCCATCAAGGAGCTTTTACCAAACTGGGAGCACACCTGAGCCTGTTTGTGGGAGAGGGATGCACTGCAGAGGGGTTTGGGGAGAACAGGGCTCTCTGTGCCCTCCCCTCCCTGAACAACTTTGTCATTTTTCATTTTGTGTCTTTTGTCCGCTGTGCAGCTCTACAGCTCGTGGGCTGGCTCMCAGCAAGTCTGCAGCATTGATTAGGTTAATGAATGTGCCTTTGGATTAGAGCAGGGGAGATAAATTAYCATCAACAGGGGCAGCCTGTGGTCGTGATGCAGCTGCTGGTGACACACAGCCTTGAGTCACTCCAGCAGTGAGGCACTGTCCTTGTCCCCTGCTCCCACCTGCAGCAGGAGCCAGCCAGGGAAAGGGAAACAGAGCTTTGTGCACGAAATTTTGTCTCCCAAGGGCATGGCTCAGCCAGAGCCTTCTGGGGGCAGGAAGAACATCCAGTCCTGCTATGAGCAGGGTCAGCTTTCACCAGGACAGGCTGCCCAAAGCTCTGGCCAGCAAACCCGTGTGGTGGTGGGGCATCCACAGCCTCTCTGGGCTCGGTGGCTGCTGGGGGCACAGGAGCTGTGCTCTGCTGGCACTGGGGCACAAAGCAAAGCCAGGGAGCCCCAGCAGCTGACCAGCACTCCCCTCCCTGTGCTCCAGGCCGCACCAGCTTCTACGAGCAGTACGGGGTGATCCGGGACGTGCTGCAGAACCACCTGACCGAGGCCCTGCTCTTCCTGCTCATGGAGCTCCCAGCCAACGTCAGCAGCGCCCAGGACGTGCTGCAGCACAAACTGCAGGCGCTGCAGTCCCTCTGGGAGCTGGAGAGGAGCAGTGCCGTGCTGGGCCAGTACCAGGCCTACCACAGCCACGTGCAGGAGGAGCTGCAGGAGGCGCGGGACCGTGTCAGCACCACACCGACCTTCGCAGGTGAGCCTGGGCTGGGCAGGGCAGCGCTGGGGAGGGAGGAGCTGCATGGCTCTGCATCCCTCTGCACCTCTCTGCACCCCTCTCTACAGCTCTGCACAGCTCTGCACCCCTCTGCACCCCTCTGCTGACTGACCAGGCACAACCCTGCTGTCCTGGCAGGTCACTGATGATCCGGGGAATGGGAACATGAGAGCTCAGTCCATTACAAGGTCTCTGCGTTACTGTTAGAAATGGCCTGGAAACTCCTTTGTGTTTTCATGGAGTTGCTCTCTGCAGCTGAGGGGCAAAGCTGTGCAGTTCTCTGTGATGAGTGAAGCACGAGGCCCTCTCTGGCCATGCTTTGTGTGGTGTGGGGTGGGTGATGGTCATCCCCAGGGGTGCTGCTGTCCAGCTGTGGGGTGGGTGATGGTCATCCCCAGGGGTTCTGCTGTCCGGGTGTGGTGTGGGGTGGGTGATGGTCATCCCCAGGGGTTCTGCTGTCCGGCTGTGGGGTGGGGTGGGTGATGGACATCCCTCTGTCCCGGTGCAGTCTCTGAGGTCTCTGTCCTTGCAGGGGTGCTGATCCGCAGTGACAGCCTGCGCTGGGAGGGGGTCCCGTTCCTGCTGACGTCCGGCAAGGCTCTGGAYGAGCGGGTGGGCTACGCCCGGGTGCTGTTCAGGAACAGGGCCCACTGCCCCCAGAGCGGGACCCTGCGGGATGGGGGGCACAGCCCGTGCAAACCCCGGCAGATCATCTTCTACTTCGGGCACGGTGCCCTGGGCAGCCCGGCGGTGCTGGTCAGCAGGAACCTCTTCCGGCCTGTCATGCCCAAGGACAGCTGGAAGGAGGCAGAGGCTCGCTCTGACCTGCACATCTTCGGGCAGCCGCTGTCGGATTTCTACGTGTACAGCCCCGTGAGAGAGAGGGACGCCTACTCCGTGCTCATCTCCAACATCTACCACGGCAGGAAGGATTCCTTCATCACCACGGAGAGCCTGCTGGCCTCCTGGGCCTTCTGGACGCCTTTGCTGGACAGCACGGCTGGCCAGCAGCCACGCCTCTACCCCGGGGGCGTGGAGAACCAGCAGCTGCTGGACTTTGAGATGGTGAGCGGGGCGGCGGTGGCGTTCAGCACGGCAGAGCCGGCTCAGCTGCTGGAGCCTGACCCCCCCAAGCCCAGCGAGTTCAGAGCCATCCAGCCCCAATTCCGGCAGAGCCCGCTGGTGGCGGCCTGGCCCGAGGAGCTGATCGCCCGGCTGGCGGCCGACATGGAGGCGGCGGCGCTGGGCAGCGTGGGGCACACGGGGCAGTTCCACGTGGCACTCTCAGGTGGCTCCAGCCCCGTGGCCTTGTTCCAGCGCCTGGCCCGGCACCACGGCGGCTTCCCCTGGCGGCACACGCACGTGTGGCTGGCGGACGAGCGCTGCGTGCCCCTGAGCCACGGCGACTCCAACTTCCAGAGCCTGCAGCGGCACCTCCTGCACAGCGTCCGCGTGCCCTACCTCAACGTGCACCCCATGCCCGTGCACCTCAACCGCCGCCTGTGCGTGGAGGAGGACGGTGGCACACAGCTCTACGCCGCCGACATCGCTGCCCTGGTGCACAACGCCAGCTTTGACCTGGTGCTGCTGGGCGTGGGCACGGACGGGCACACGGCCTCGCTGTTCCCCGGCTCGGACAGCGGCCTGGACGGCGCTGCCACCGTGGTGCTGACCGAGAGCCCGCTCAAACCRCACCAGAGGATGAGCCTGAGCCTGCCCCTCATCAACAGGGCCCRGCGTGTGTTCGTGCTGGTGCTGGGCAAGGGCAAGCGCGACATCACCGCGCTGCTCAGCAGGGTGGGCCACGAGCCACACAAGTGGCCCATCTCGGGTGTCCGGCCCAGCTCCGGCCAGCTGGTGTGGTACATGGACTACGAGGCTCTGCTGGGCTGATGCCATCAGTGCCCRTCCTGCCATGGCTGCGTGCCCTTCACAGCTGGGATTGTCCTGCACAACGTCAGCAGCTCCGTCCCTGACACCCAGCCAGCCCTCAGGGACATCCATGGCCTGCAGCAGCAGCTCCTATGACACCTGGAGAGCCTTTGGGGACATCCATGGCCTGCAGCTCCATCCATGACACCTGGACAGTGTTCAGGGATATCCATGGCCTGCAGCAGCAGCTCCTCTGACACCTGGCCAGCTTTCAGGGGACATCCATGGCCTGCAGTCCTGTCCCTGTAGCCTTTGGGGACATCCATGGCCTGCAGCTCCTCTGACACCTGGACAGTGTTCAGGGACATCCATGGCCTGCAGCAGCAGCTCCTATGACACCTGGAGAGCCTTTGGGGACATCCATGGCCTGCAGCTCTGTCCCTGTAATCTTTGGGGACATCCATGGCCTGCAGCTCTGTCCCTGTAGCCTTTGGGGACATCCATGGCCTGCAGCTCCTCTGACACCTGGACACATTCAGGGACAACCATGGCCTGCAGTTCCATCCATGACACCTGGACACATTCAGGGACAACCATGGCCTGCAGCTCTGTCCCTGTAGCCTTTGGGGACATCCATGGCCATCCTGCAGCTCCTCTGACACCTGACCTGGTGGCAGCTGGGCTCAGTGTCCAGCTCAGCAGGAACCAAAGGCCCAGGGCAGCGTTTCTGGTTCTGCTCTGGCCTCTGACCAAGACTGGACAAATGACCTCACCTTGAAGTGCCTCAGTTTCCCTGTCAGGCCTTTGTGCTTATTGGCATGTAACTACCTCACAGGCACTATGGGACACCTGGTAAATCAACTGCCTGCCAAATTCTTCTGAATTTTCTCTAATTCTCAGGCTAAAAGACAATAACAGCGTGTTCATCCCCTGCCCTGCTCAGTCTGGCACCCCCAGACCCTGATGGGGGATTTGTTTGGGGCACTGCCTCCCTGGGCAGATTCTGCCCTTTTTGGGGGTTTTGTGGCCGGGTTTGGTGCCCCAGGATCTGCTCCTTTCTGGAGGAAGGTGAGCACTGCAGGGATTCTCTGAAATAACCCTTTGGTGGCTGAGCCCTGCAAACCCTGGCTCCAAAATTCACCACAGCGTGCAGAGCAAGGTGCTCCAGGTTTGGTACATCCATAAACTCAAACATTCCTCTTCCTTTGAAACAAAAATATCCACATTAACTTCATTCCAGTTCTTTTGTGTTGGGTGTGGGGGAACAAGTTTTGATGAAAAWCTGACCTATGTGAGAGTGACTGTATTGTTGTGAATAACAGAGTTTATTCCTGTTTTACGGGTGACTGTGGCATTGGTGTTTGCTTTTTTTTGCACTTTCTTGGGAATACTTGGCTGGCACATCTTGAAATAAAAGCTGGGAGGTTTATTTGCACTTTTAAGTAAGCACATGGGTTTTGTTTTGTTTTGTTTTGTTTTTTTTCCCAGGGAGGCACTGTTCTTTCCAGATGAAAATAGGATTTATTTGTGAAGCCTCAGTCTAGTGGGTCTACCCAAAATTCATTCTCGATTTTATTAAAATCCATTAGAAATTTTTACATTTTCCTTGGTGAACGGAGCTATCTGGGTTGTTTGGGGGATTTTTTTAGAACTGTATTTTTTCCTTCACAGAGACAATTCCTGTTAAACTCTTTAATACTTAACATTTGCTAAATAAAAACCAAATATTTTGGAATATACAAAATTTATGRCTGGAAAGAGAGAGACWGGATGGGAAGAAGGGTTAAATGAGCAACAAATCCAATCAGGAGGAATGGTAGCAATCCACTGGGCTGTAGGCCAAGGAAGCAATGCTATTTTTATTTTGTGAAAGTTATTAATAGAAGGTGTGCACCTTCTTGAGAGCTTGGATTAACCTTCCTTTGCAAAAGCAGCTCCATGGAGTAACTTCTTACGGTCTGTTTCTCCCGTAAGTGATTATTGATAACCAATTTTTATTAATTTTTTTAATGTCAAGTGCATTCCTACAATTCAATRGTATGATAATGTTATACAGAAAACTTAACACTGGAAATAATTCATTTTTCACTTCAATTTTTATAAATCAAMTAGTAAAGTCCTGTGATTCTTTTAATACTGTTTAATGAATAAAGAGTTATATTTATAAGAAATGGATAGTTTTTATCAAGAAGTGTCTTTTAGTTTCTTCCACAGATGGGTGTTCACTCTGAGGCTTTCCCTGTGCCCTGGTGGGTGAAGTTTTAGAGTTTTGGTTGTGCAGAGTGGACAGTGTCGCTGCAGTGTGAAATGCTCACTCTGACTCTTGGTTTTTTTGGCGTCTCCTCCAGACAAGGGCAGGACTTTCCAAAACAAGGAGCAGCCAAAGCCTTTTAAGGTGAGCAGATGGAATCACCCAGTGCAGTGCAGGGTCCTGGCAGTGTCAGGCTTTGGGAAAGGCTCCCCTGATCCACATTTACTGCATTTCCCGAGCTGCATTTCCATGGGTGCTGTGTGATAACAGTTTATGGAACTGCCCCTGTAACCAGAATTATTCATCTGTGAGCTCTCAGGGTCACGGCCAGAGCCGTGCCAGGGCCGTGCCAGAACTGTGCCAGAACCATGCCAGGGCCGTGCCAGAACCGTGCCAGGCCCGTGCCAGAACCGTGCCAGGCCCGTGCCAGAACCGTGCCAGGCCATGTCAGAGCCATACCAGAGCTGTGTCAGAGCTGTGCCAGAACCGTGCCAGAGCATGTGGCCAGAGCCATGTCAGCACCGTGCCAGGGCCGTGCCAGAGCCGTGCAAGAACCGTGCCAGAGCCATGCTAGGGCCGTGCCAGAACCGTGCCAGAACCGTGCCAGAGCTGTGTCAGAGCTGTACCAAAGCCGTGCCAGGCCATGCCCTGCAGCTGCTCCCCGCCGTGCCAGAGCCGTGCCGTGCCAGAGCCATACCAGAGCTGTACCAAAGCCATGCCAGGCCGTGCCGTGCCAGGCCATGCCAGGCCATACCCTGCAGCTCCTCCCCGCCGTGCTGCCCCCGCTCTCTCGCAGCCTCTGCAGCGATTCCCGCAGCAGCTCCGGCCCCGCGGCGCTCSGAGCAGACATCGCCTCATTTTTTCCTTCAACAGGGCTCCCTTTCTGCAGGCACCTCCCGGCACAGAACAATCCGGCTCTGTGTGGCTGCTGCTGAAACGGGAGCTGTGCACGGCCACAAGCTCGGCAGGATCCTTCCTCTGCATCCCAGGCTATTTTTAAACGAGGTTCCGGCGTTGTTTTCATGTTTTGCTTTTCTTGGGTGGGTAGGAAGGAGGGCTGGCAGAGTGTTCAGAGTGTCTGRAGGTTTCTCTCGGTGAGATGTGAGGGAGGCTGGAATGGGAGCTCAGATCTCTGGGAGCTGCAGCCTGTACCAAGTTCGGGATATTTGCCCACATGAAGAAGGGAAACCTGGAGTTAGAGGATGGGGAAAAGGCAGYTTGCACCCGAGGAGAGGGAGGAAATGGGAGGAAGAGACCAAATAATCTGTGTCTGTCTGAGGTGTGCAGGTGGGATGGACCTGACTAGTGTTGAACAGCTTAATTTGGAAAAGGTAAACAGTCTGCAGCAAGAGGGAGGGATGAAAAGCCAAGGGCGACAAGGATCCATCTGATTCGAGTCCTTGTCCAGCCTCCCCTCGCCTCTCCCCASGCAGCAGCAGTAGATGAGCTCCGAGTGAAGGTTGGAAGGGGCTGGGGAGTGGCTGCAGGACAGCTCTGTCCCCCGTGTCCCGATTGTCGCATTGTTGATCGCAGCAGCCCGAGTCCTTGCGGGACCGGCAGCGGTGGGATCCCTGCAGCCCGTGCTGGCTCCTGTCCCCTCGGTGTGCGGGCAGAGCCTGCCGGACACTGCCATGGTCCAGACTCTGCTCTGGCCATGGCCCAAGGCTCCGGCTCTCAGAGCAGGGCTSTGTTTGCGGAGGGCATCGCTCCGGGCGGTGCCTTCCCTCTGTCCGGGAACTCTCCCGGTTCGCAGCTCCGGAGCCGCCTGTGCCAGCAGCAGAGGGTGCTGCGAGCCCGTCCTGAGGAGCTGCTGGAGCCGCCGTTCCTGCCCTTCTCATCCCTGCGCATCCCATCCCATCCCATCCCATCCCATCCCATCCCATCCCATCCCATCCCATCCCATCCCATCCCATCCCATCCCATCCCATCCCATCCCATCCCATCCCATCCCATCCCAGCCCTGCCCTGCCCTGCCCGAGGAGTTTTCCAGAGGCACGGACCTCTGGCACCAGCGCCCAGCGCAGACACGAATGTAAAGCAAATTACCTGGATTCTGTTTTTTTGTTTACATATATACAGGGTTTCGTTTCATTCCAAAGCCTCGTTTGCTCGTGTTGCAGCTGTGCTGAGTGTGCTGACATCTCAGCTCACAAGAAGGGACCAAAAGGAAATGACTTCTTCTTTTTCCGGCAAAGTGCCCCTGGGTGATGCTCCTTTCTTCTCTTCCATCCCACTCTCTTTCTCTCCCTTTCCACGCCATTTTCCAGCTGGGGAGGGTTGTTGATTGTCCTGGCAGCAGGCTTGGCAGGATTTCTGCTGTTTGCACAGCCCCTCTGGGCTGCTCTGGCTGTGTGGCCGCGCCTTACAGAGCTCATTGTTCGCTCTCTGTGCCATTGTCTSTGTCCATCCCCACAGGCACAGCCCGCATGCAGCACGGCCGTGTTTCTGTGTTTCCGGGCACAGCGATGCTCTCTCTGTCTGTCCCCTGCTCTCCCCAGGGCACAGAGAGCTCCGGGCTTTCTGTCTGTGTGATTTTGCACATCCCCTCGCGGTGCAATAGGATCCCCGGCACCTCCTGCTGCAAGGGCAGCGTCAGGCAGGCACAAAGCACATCCACAGCGTCTGCTCCAGCCCAGAGTCTGTGCTGGGAGCCCAAAGGGTTTAAATCTTTACCTTCAGACATCCGAAAGGGTCCCAGTTCTCTGAAGGTGGGTGTTTATCCCCTCCCTCACCCCAGAGCTAATCTACAGAGCTGAACGCTGACCACCAGAAAACAGGCATGCCAGCCTTCTAAGAACCGGTGTAACTACGTTGTAAATCAATGCATGGCCCATGAAATGTGTCCAGAAGTCTGTTGAGCTCTCAGCAGAATATAACTTCTCTTCCCCCAGAGATCCAGCACACACATGCACCCAGGAATCGCCTTCCCCACCACTCACTACTCACTCCCTACGAGAACAGCCAGGGGAAAAAAGGCTGAGGATCCT